GTGTCGGAAATGTGGGAAGAGACTGAACAAAAATCGTACACCTATGGATGAGGACAGAGGGGGGTAAGGGCAGAGGGTAGGGGGGGAACTGGGAGGAGGGGAGCTATGGGGGGAAGAAAGAGGAACAAATGTAATAATCTGAACAATAAAGATTTAATTTTTTTTAAAAAAGGTAAGTCCAGCCCTACCTGGTTTGGCTCAGCGTACAGGGAGTTCATAGTGAAGATTCACAGGGCTCAGGGCAAGGATGAGCTCACACGTGAGGTGTGGCAGTCAGGCCAGCAGCAGACATGAGGCGGCACCCCTGGGTTCAGAACTCCACTACTGGCCAGGCCAGGAGCCTAGAGCTCCTCCTGCCGTCCTGGCCTGCTTTTAAGTCCAGCCCTACCTGGTTTGGCTCAGCGTACAGGGAGTTCATAGTGAAGATTCACAGGGCTCAGGGCAAGGATGAGCTCACACGTGAGGTGTGGCAGTCAGGCCAGCAGCAGACATGAGGCGGCACCCCTGGGTTCAGAACTCCACTACTGGCCAGGCCAGGAGCCTAGAGCTCCTCCTGCCGTCCTGGCCTGCTTTGAACTTGTCCATCTGTTCCTTACACCATGGCACCTTCACCCTCCCTCTCCTGAATGCTGCCCCCATTATTCATCGAATGTGGAATGTTCACGGATGGAAGACAGAATTCTCCAGAGCCAAAGCGATTCTTTCCTGTCAGCTCCTCCCACCACGGCGCCCTCTACCCAGACACCGGAAACACAGCAGCTGTTCCCATGGCCTGGCAGCCTGGGTGTAGGTACCAACCGCGTGCACATTTGCCCGGCGGGGCCCGCCACAGGGTGGGGCCACTTGGCAGCAAAAGCATAAACCACCCCTGGAACCTGACAGGGGTAGAAGGAAATATTTCCTTGTCCTCCGTCACCCATGAAAGTATTACATATTACCAAGTCAGTGTTGGGCGTTTCCTCCTATTAACACCAGCTAACGCGTTGAGTCACAGCTTCGATTTTTGCAGCCACGTTACACCATGCACACCACGTACACCACGCACACCACGCAGACACACCTTTAACTGACATTCCGACTAAAGCCCCGATCCTGCATCATCTTAAAGTGCCGTTTCACATTTCGGACCAGCTCTGCTGGTTCTGGGCTCCGGGACAAAATCCTTCTGCGTGGCATTTTTATCTGTACATTGGGCTCAAAACAGATACACTTTGCTGCTACAGTTTAGGTCAAACTCTTCCGTTTATGGTAGCATAATAATTATGATAGTACTACACTGATTACATATATATATATCCGTAAGTTGATCGTACGGAGGCTGCTATTAACACACTCCGTTCTTACACGACTGAAAGGATCTGACAGTAATTTACAACTTAGGCAAACAGAAAATGATGTAACCCAAAAACTCACCCCACTATTGCTCCAAAAGAGAAACGCGCAGGTCACTAGGGGATGGGCCTGGGGTAGATGGACTTCCCTGTCGGTGTCCTGGGAGAGCGTTCTGTTGGTGAGACCAGAAATATAATCGGCGTTCGGTTATAACGTCCTCCGCATCCGAGGTCAATTCAAACCACAACAGGAACTACACTGGAAACCAAGCCTAGAGCATCACGGTTGTCCGGCCCTCTGGGCCTCCTTACAGTGACTTACCAACCACAGCCGCGGATACTGGGCGCCAAACTTGCCACCGTCTCCGTGGGGCGGAGCCTCGGAAGGGGCAGGGCTTAGTCAGAACCAGTGAGACGCTGGTTCCGGTGTACGGGG